CAGAAACAACAGAAACAACAGAAACAACAGAAACAACAGAAACAACAACCACCACCAGCAAAACTTCCAGAACAAGAAAAAAAAGCCTACCAAATGGCTGGGAAGGGCCTTTTTATAAGAGCAGGTGTAGCAGAAAGGCTGAGTCACGGCCCGAAGCAATGATTGAGCACCTGGTGGGAAGGCAGGGCCAACTCAGGGCAGCTCAGGTGCATGCAATCTTCCTGAGTGAGCAGAAAGGGTGCAGCCAGGATCCACCCCTTCTCAGATCTCATTTAAAGGTTGGCAGTGGAGGGAAAGATATTGTGTTGTTGATGCCTGAGTATTTGAGGTCATATTAAGGTATGGTTTTTTTCTTTTTTTTTTTTTTTTTTTTTTTTTTTTTTGTTTGCTATTTTTGTATTTGTGTATGTTCTAAGGTGCTATAGGTTAGGATTTTTGTTGTAACTGCTGTATGTTTTATCACATTGTATTTTAATAGTCTTATTTTATTCTATGGCTTTTTCATTCAGATTTTGTACAGGTGTCACCAAAACAGATGCTTTGCAGTTTAATCCTCACTAGCGTTTTATTGTTAGAAATTGGTTGCCAGCCTAATGTTTTTTTTTTCTTTTAGGTGTGGAGACAGTTGGAGAAAAATCAAATTGTCTTGAAGAAATTAAAGAAGGGAGCAAACCTCAGGTAACAAAAGCTGAGGGATGAGAATCTGGGAAGCTTACTGCAGCAGATCCCTTGGTTTAAGTTTAGCTAGGGAAGCAGGGTGAAGAGGTGGATTTTCTGGTAGATGGTGGTGCCTGTTATTCCATGGTACATCAAGAGCTGTTTTCTGTAGGTACTGATTTACTGTCAGTAGGAGCCAACAGTAAAGAAGCTGACTTTCATGGAAGACCCATGAAAACAGTCTCCTGCAAATACAGGTTAGGAAAACAAGTAGGAATATGTAACTTCTTGAATGAGCTGGACTCTTCAAAGTTGTTACTCAGGTAACAGTTATGAATACAACTGGATGCACAGAATTGAAGTTAATGATGAAAAACAGGAATAGGTCCAGCAAGGCCAGCAGATGGGAAGCATTGCTTCAATGTAAACTGGGGAAAAACTACATTGTATCCTCAGAAGTTACAGAAATCCTGTCTACTCAGGATACTCTGTAAGTACTCTGTGTACTCAGGTGTGTGGGCATTGGGTATGCCTGGCAGGACCACAATTGCAACCCCAATAGGTGTTGAAAGCAGGAGCCAGCTGAGCCGGGGTAAAGCTGTGGCTTCTGAGGGTATAAGCTTGTAAAAGATAAAAAGAAGTAATGGCTGACTTCTTGGAGTTCATATGACTAACTGAATGTGACTATGATATCGCAATATTGCTGGTGACAAATTGGATGGCAAGAGCTACTGTTAGGTACAAGAGTTGATGATAAATAGTATTCTTGAAGTTATACATCTATTGGTGGCAAATAGATACACTTGATAAAGCAAGGTAAAGAATGAGTAGGTGGGGTTTATTGCTGTGGATTTTAAGGATATACTTTCTGCCTGGTTTTGTCAAAAACAAGTCTGAAGTTAATTCCTTTTGAATAGGAAAACAAAAACCTCAGTACAGGGAGGGAAGACCCAGTTAACTTCGATAGCGTTACCTGGGGTTCTGAGTACTACCCAATTACTTCTGGGAAATGGTCAGCTAGGGAGCCTGAGACCGGAGCCCTCCATCCCCAGGTGGAACTTTACTGCAGTATGCGAATACTGCAGTAACAGTAGAGAACTGTGTAATGCAGTATGCGTTTGTTGTATTTTCTTGGTTTAAGTGACTGTTACATTTATCAACAGAAAGCTTAACTGACTAAAGAGGAGGAAGGAAGCAATTTTCCAGACGGCAAACATGGATGGAGAGCTACCTCTGAGCTAGCGGCGCCCAACTGCTGGCTGGTCTTCCAGGAGGAACCACCGGACGATGCCGAGGCTTCCTGTACTCATGACAGAAGCAGGCTTTTGAGTCAAAGAAACAGCAAGGTAGGGTACGCTGTAACTGCTACTGACTCAGTATTCAAAGCAAAATCATTACTTGTGGGGGGGACTTCTCAGAAGGCCAAAATATTTTCCTTGACAAAAGCTTTAAATGCAGGGACAGATCACTTAGTTATATTTTGGGGTGATAGACGCTCACGGTACCGTCCAGAAAGACCAAGGGTCGCTACCGAGAGCATCGCTATTACACACAGTAAAGGACATGAGAGAAGTAACACTGCACAGGAAATCAGCAAGGAGAGGGTGGATCTGGAGGCAAAACGCGCAGCTGAATGTGAAGAAATTGGTGATCTGGCTTTATTCTCAGAGGATAACTTTGAAATATTTGAACCTGAGTTAGAACCCGTAAAGTATTCCAGAGAGGAGAGGAGTCTAATGAATGATGCAGATAGGATGAGAGCAAGCTGACTGAGGTTGTGCTGCCCTTTCTTATGTTATTGAAATTGGTTCCAAGGGTACATAATGAAAGCTATAGGGGGGGAAAGACGCAGTAAGTATTTGAAGAAAGTGAACGTACTATCCTAGTACCAGGATTGGGGTACAAGCAGAGCCGATTAGAATACTGAACTTTCCAGGACAACAATGTGCAATAAACTTTTTTAGAGCTGACTAGAGAAGGGGGTTTCTGTCACATGTTAGTTGTACCCAACACCTTTTCAGGGTGGCTGGAACCTTCCCCCTGCAGGACCGATAAAGCCACAGAAGCAGTCTAGGTACTGCTGCAGGAAGTTTTTCCGAGGTTTTGGGGGTCCTGCGACAGTGTTCTCTGGCCCGGGAACTCGTTTCATTGTGAAGTAGGTCCAACAGGTCAGCAAGCTATTGGGGATACATTGGCGTTGCGCGCATCACGCAGAGCACGGGCATGCGGTCAGGTAGAGAAGACGAATCTCTTAAAGAACAGATTGTATATCTGGGCTAGGAAGCTGGACTGTCCTGGCCACGGTCATTGCTTTTGGCGCTTCTGAGGACGAGGACAGAACTTAGAGCCAAAGAGGGGTTAAGCCCTGTCCAAATGTGGTAGGAAAGGCCTTACGTAGCACTAACGGAACGAGGAGTGAAATACTAACTCGGCGTGTAATAAGCCTACAATAGCAGCATTGGGAAATATGAAAACCAGTTTTAGGATCTAGGGACTGAGGCCTCGATGGACTTGTACGTGATATTTAACCAGGATGTTGTGTGTATCAGGCCTGTTTCAGATCTGCCTGGGGGGCCCGAGTGGGAAGGACCGTTCCAAGTACTTTTAACGACCCACGCGGCAATTGGAAAGAAGGAGGCATCTTTGTGGATTCATCGCTGCAGGGTGAAGAAAGCTCCCTGCCTCAGCGGACTGCTACCTTAATGGACCTCTGAAACTTGCGATGCAAAAATGATGTTTAATAACTATGTAACCTGTACAATGTTACCTCTTGTTTCAGCTTGATCAGAAAATACTCAGATAAAGCTTACTGAAAAGCTTACTGAAGCTTTGAATGTTTCAGAGTTGTTGCTATGTGCAATCTTTTCCAGAGGTGAAGGAAGAGGTGCTAGTTTACCTAGCACTTGCACTAAATAGATTAATATCAGATTGGTTAACAAATTAGATTCAGAAACACGGAGCAAATTGTAAAATTGGAAAAGCCAGTCAGAGCGTGCTAGACCCCAGATTTCAGTTAGCGGTCAATGATCATATGAGGTCTGTTTTTAAAGATGGGAACGATGACAGTGAGAACCCTATAAATGTTCAGCGTAGGGATCTGCCTGGTCTAGGGTGCAGTTAGGAATACGGCAATTCTGGGATGGTAACTGGGGATGATGAGACAGCAAGGCTTTAAAAGTAGCACTACTGAGCGGCCCAGAGATCGTGTATTGGCTGCAGGGGAGCGGAGGCTGTGTTAACCATGAGAATGCCTGCTAGCCTTCATCCAACGACTGCTTGAGCCTCACCACATTTGTGGAACGCGTAGTCAAGAGGGTGGGATGGCGTGTTAAGTATTTCTTAGAATTCTTTTTTTTTTTTTCTCGGAGTGTAATAAACATATGTACTGAAGTCTGTAACTGTGTCATTGCTGCTTTTGTAAGTGAGTGAGTGAGGGGGAGCACCTTCACACTTGGTGCACTAATAAACATACCTGTTTCCTAACCGTAAGTGGATTGCGGAGTCTGATTCTGCATGTCACGTACCGCTGGGAAGAACCCAGCCTCATCCATTTGCCTCTCACTTCCCTTTAGGTATTTGTAAACAGTGATCAGATCCTTTCTCAATTTTGTTTTTCACGGGCTGAGCAGACTGGAGTTTCTGAGGCGTTCCTCAAGCAGGAGCTGCTCCAGGCCCTTAATAGTCTTAGCAGCTCTCTGTTAGACTCTTGCAATGCAAGGAGGACCTGCTGATATCCCCCTATCATTTAGGAGCAGCTGTACAGCAATGCTTAATGAGACTAGCTTGACCAAATCTTGCTCGCTGGAATCTGCCGACCGCGAATTGTACGGACCCTATTTTCATTTGAGACTCTTTCCCTGGCTTATTTAGTGCCTCGCTTTGATTTGAGCAGACGTCAAGCTGATTTACACAAGGATGAAAGAGAAGAATCAGGCCCAACTTTGTAGGTAGCCTAGTAGCAGCACAGGTGTTCTTTGGCTGGTAGCAGCTGGTGCATGCTAATTGGCAGGAACGCAAAATTTGAGTTGCAAAAAGCATCGAAGAAGGGAGACGGCTCAAAATAAAGTCTCAGCATATTACAATTTGCTCCACAGGCCTGAATAACCTGACAAGATTAAATTTTTCGTTACCTTGCGCCATGCGATTCAAGAGCTTGAAGTCTGAAAGGCGGGAGATGGCCTCAAAATGCGCTTGTACGACAGATCTGCATTAGTTTGCAGAAAAATTATTAGGGAATATGAAAAGTCTCGCTTGCTGCCTCCCGCTCTGAAAGCAGCAGAAAGAGAAAACCAAACAGCAGGACACCGCAATAATTAATAAGTATGCTACAAACACAGCGCCCTGAAAAGGTTGCTAAAGGAGCCATCTACTACATAGAATCACAGCATCACAGAATCGCGAGGTTGGAAACGACCTGCGAGATCGCGTAGTCCAACCACCCTCTCATTCCTATCAGTACCTGTCATGATTCTATGTTTTTTTGTTTTTGGGTTTCAGTATTCCACATTAAAACATCACGTAGTGTATGGGGTATTAAAGTGTTAATGCCCCAATCCCAGGTACCTATCCCTGTACATTACAGAAGTCACGGGATCTGGCCCTTCCGGGTGGGGGGGGGCGCTCTCTTGCTGCCTTGCAGTGGGTGCTGGAGGGTGCTTTCCTGGCCGTTCCAAGCTTTTCAGTTTTGACTCGGTCCCGGGAACTCTCTCTCTCATCTTGTCTGATTTATTAATCTCAATTTCATTTAAATTGTATATATATTGTGTTATCTTGTATTCCGATATTAGAGCAAAATAAGTTTTCTTCCTGAGATTGTTGCCGCTGCTCTTTTCCTCCCTTCCTTCCTTCCCATTTTTGTGGGACTGAGGTGGGGGGGGAGGGCAGAGGTCTGTTGCCCCTGTCACTGACGTAGATCGATCCAGTCAAGTCTGTGACAGTACCACAAGCTACTAACACACTACTACATATGATGCTGTACGATAAGGTACCGTAACAAGCAATTTGCCCGAGGAAAATAATCTCTGGAAGCAAGCACTGACTGCTACTCCAACCGAATAGTCTGGGCAGCTGGGAAATAGTCGGCTGCCGGTCTCGGTGCGGTCGTGTATTAGTCAGGAACAAGGCAAACCCCATGCTGGAACTGACCGGTGATGTGAAAGGGGAGGGATGTGACAGTCAACAGTCAGCTAAAGATGTAAGGAAATGCTTCTGTGGGGTACGGTGCCTAATAGCAGGAGAAAGTTTTGAGGCGGGGGAGATTTGGGAGACCGTTAAGCATAAGTAGACGGACAAAGACAATGTGAAAGAAATGTTCTACGCTTAAAAAAAGAATACACGAGTACATGTTGGAGCCCTGTTTACGGCAGGAGAGTTCAGCTCTCAGACTTGTCCGTGTTAAGAACGGAATTGCAAAATGCATCCACAGACCGAGATATCCCATTCCGATCTAGTTGTAACGCTGACATTTCTGGAATTCCCGGTAACCTATCTATGTGGCGTGCGCTTCCCCTTCTCCGAGGATTTATGGGAAATCATATCTACTGAACCTACGGAAAGTTTTCCTAAGAACACGATACTTTTGAACCCCAGTGCTGTGGTTGAGCAAAATGAACCCTGACAGCCTCGCCTGTTTTAAGCAGACTTTCTGTAGTTCCAGTTATAAGAGCTTCTTCCTGTAGCACGAGTTTACATTTCCAGATGTTCCAAGCCATTAAAATGTCACTTGCCATAGATTTAGCTACGTGTCATTTACGGTTGTAAATCAGGGTACAAACAAAGCGTTTATCAATCGCCTCTTCTTACGTACCCGAAAGGATGTACAAAAGTGGAGTACTGAACTCTGCCATTTTACCGAGAAGTAAAATGGCACAGGAACTGCAGACAGCTCTGAATAACATCGCTGCAGGCGAAGCCTTGCTAGAAATTCAGCAGCTGCAGGACAATGAGCGTATGCGGGGGCACATTTTTGAATACGGTGGCTTGATATTCCGCTCGTACAAGCAGCGCAACACGGAGGAATTCCAACACTTTCACGAGCAGACGCACGGAGGCCTGCGAACTCTATGCACGAGCCATGTTGTTGTTGTCAGGAACATTTGCTCCACGGTTCCCGACACGTTGAAGCATAGCTTCCGAGGAGATCGCTATCGCTCACTGCTCTCACAGAAGAACGTGCGTGCACACATGCGCCGTCTAGAAATACGGTAAAAGTCTGCTGAGGAAACCGGCCAATGAGTTTATTCCCTGCGACGAGATGGCAGTCTGAGTCACGGTTATCCTTAGCCTTGCTCACCTGGCTTTTCTGTCCTGTTTTACTTCAAAGTGTCTCTTTTTAGGAGGACTATCAGCTGCTTCAGACCGTGCTACCGTATCAGCGTGTGCAAGAGCGTTTCGATTCATTCCTTTGCAACTGAACATTGCTTATCTTTACTTTGTTCTACCTGTTCGGAAGGAAAGAATTATTGTTGAGAAGTAATGAAAGTATTTGCCTCGATGCTGTCACAAAGATGAATGTAGCTCAAAAGTAACGAAACCTTCCTCAAGTCTGTGTAACGCAGCAATAAACAGCAGCGTTGGTTTTTTTTTCCCCTGTGTTTAAAAAGGTGGGAATGAAATCATAATGGGAAGCAAAGAATTAAACTACTTGTGATCTTTGGCGTCTGGATTAGACACTGTCAATTCCCCAGAGATAACATGTCCAACTGTGAGCGTCTCATGCACCAGCATTATATGTCATAAGGAACTTTTCAAGCTGTGTAAGGTCTGAATTGTCTGGGTATGTGAAGCCTCGCTGTTTGGGGTAGCTGTCAGGGCTCCGGGCCGGCCATCAGGCGGCCCAGCTGCGCTGAGGAACCCATCACCTCCACCTGCTGCAGGGCTGCCCGGGCACAGCTGCACCCTGTTAGGAGCCCAGGGCAGGGCCCTCCCTCCAAGCCTCTTAAACCCTGCCAGAGGCCACTGGGAGCTACAGGGGGTTCTTCCTGCTCCCTGTACCAGGAGGCTGCCTTGCTTGCATGCTGTCTTTTTGGAGGGCTGTTGCTGCTGCTCCTGGCCTGCTTTTTTTTTTTGTGGGTCTCCATGCTCTTTTTTTTTGGAGCTGCTGTAGGGCTCCTGCTTGTAGGTTTGGGTCTTTTTGCTTTTTTGGGGGCTAGTGTGAGTTTGCTGGGCTCCCCTCTTTTCACAGCCAGTCCAGAGTGCCTACTGCCAGGCTCTCGTTGCCTGCTTTGGGGCATTACCTGCCTGGCTTTTTTGCACCCATGTGGTGCTTTTGCAGTCTGGATCTTGCTCTACCGCCTTAGTGAGGCTGGGTGGTTTGGGGGTGCTGCAGGCGCTCGACTAAGTATGTTAAGCCCATGCACCTTAGTCTGGTGCTGCTGGGCATGAGAAACAGCACGAGGCTATTTTTTTTTTTCCTTAAGATCTAAATATGGTTGACTTGTTTAACTTGGTGTTTTCTCTTGTTTTTCTCTTGTGTTTCAGACTGAGGACAACAGCGGGGCCTCCTGCAGCGAGGATTATTTCTGGCACCGATGGGAGTATGCACGCTGTGCTCCCTGAGGCCCATCCTGTGGCGTGTGGGCTACTGCCTGGGGGGTTGCTAGGGGCTCCCTGCCTGTGGCATGAGACTGCTGAGCTCCCATTCTGCTCTTCTGGGGGCCGGGGTAGTGGCAGTGCTGGGCTTCTGTTACCTTAAAGATATGTATGGTTCTGAAGAAGGCTTTGGGTGCTTTCTGCCCCTCTTGCTGCCATGGCAGTGAGTGGGGTGGATTTGTTGGTCCTGGCCCTCTGTGACCTGCTGCTGCTGGGGTTAAAAAAACAAAGCCTGAGATCAAGAGTTCCTTTGTTATTTGTTTGCTTGTTTGTTTGTTTTTACTCCTGCAGTGGGGTGAGTGAGAGCTGCTGAGGATCAAGGCTGAGCTTAAACAGGTGAGCAGTTCTGGCACTGGTGAGATGGAGGAGGTGGGGAGTACAAGGAAGGGGCACTGGTGGCAGGTAGCTTCTGGATTCTCACCCAGCTCTTTGTGGAGCCAGTACAGCGCTGCTGCTGGGCTCCCCTTGCCATTAGGGAACACCGTGGTGCTGTTTTGGAGCTTGCTAGGCTCCCAAGGGCTTTTTTGTTTTTCCTTGTGGTGGGGGGTTGGTGCTCAGCTCCCTGAGTTGCTCTCAGCTCACACGTGGTTGTTTTGCAGGTGCTGCGGTTGCCGGGATGAGTAGAATGTGGCAACGCCCTGTGCTCCCCCGGGTGCCCTAATGCCGCTGTTGCTGTGGGTGAGAAGCAGAATGAAGGGCTTAAAATGGAAGTGACGGCAGATAATCTGCTTTTTTTTTTTTTTTTGTCTTCTCCATTGTTTCTATCCTTTTAGGTGAACTGTTGAATCACAGCCTGAGCCTCTGACTGACCACCGGAGGAGGTGAGGAATGAGTCAGCTCTGGGAGCACAGGTGAAGGCAATTCACCTGCGCTGCCGTAAGTGGTGGAGGTTGGCTCGTGTCTCCTGGACTCCATTTAAGAGCTGAATCCTGGTGGGGATGAATCTCTTGCCTGGGATTGCTTCTCTTGGAGTTTTACAGTCAGCCTGGGTCAAGGGTAAGCCCTGTATGCATTTTGTGTTGTTTTAATAACCTGCTTAGGCAAAAAGTTCAATACTTAGTGTAATATCTGTGTATTCACAGGTGCAACAGTTCTGTTGCAGGGTAATGGCCTCAGCAGTGCGTTTTTCCTGCAAGGATGAGCCTGAGTGGTGATGTGAGTCAGTAATGGGAGAACAGGTGAGTGCCGGTGGCCTGGGGATCTGACCACTTCTCTGTGCTTTTTTGTCTCTCTGCAGGAGCTCTTATTCCTGCGTGTCCCGGCTGGGGATCCTGTTGCTGTGCAGTTGTCGGTGGTCCTTCAGACAGAAGTGAGCTGTGTTCTTGTGTCTCTCTGTTGGAATGGGGCTTATGGCTCTAGCAGGGTGCTGGGAATTGAAGCGCTCTGGTTTGTGGGGGTGCCTGGGCTCTTTGTGGAGGCCAGGCTCCATCCTGCTTTGTTTTGTTTCCTTTTCAGCCTTGAAGGTGTGTGGCAGCTGAATGGGGTTAGTTCAAGGAGAGGTAAGTAATGTGCAAGTGCTTGTTGTGGTGCTGCTGCCTTGGTGTGGGGTTACAAGGGAGTAGTAATTCTTATTTTCTTTTTTTTTTTTTTGTGCAGTCCATCTCCTGGCGGAAGGCTTCGAATCCTGCCATCATCTTTGTCTTGTTGGAGGAGATGCAGCAATGAGGTGGGGCTGTGCCGAAGGATACTTTGTGAGCCAAGGGGAGCTCAGATGACCCGAGATGCAGGCTTTTTGGTTTTCTGGTGAGTGGTGCACAATGGTGGTGTTTTGGTTGTCTCAGAATGTTGAGCACTGTATAGTTTCTTTGTGTTTTTTTTTTTTTTCCTTGCTGTTGGTGCTTTGGTTGTGTCGGAATCTTGAGCGCTCTGTCCTCCCTTTATGTTCCTTTTCTTTTGCTTTTAAGTGGTTGGTGTCTTGGGTGTGGCAGAGTCTTTAGCACTCTATTGTCTCTTTGTGTTTTTTTTCTTAGCTGTTGGTGTTTCGGTTGTCAGAATCTTTAGCACTCTTGTTTCTTTGTTTCTTTTTTTCAGCGGTTGGTGGCTGTAGAGAAGTTGTAGAAGTACGTTTTCTATTTTGTGAGTATTCCTTTCACTATTAGTAATTTGTGTTTTGTTTTTTTTTGGGGGGGTCCTCCTGGCACTTTGCCAGGGGGGTTTTTCGAATTTTTTTTTGTTTGCTAGTCCGCGAAATTTGCACTATCTCTAAAGAGATATATTTTTTTTTTTTTTTGGAGGGAGGGTGGGTTCTGCTTTGTGAGTGTCTTGCCTTCGGGCCCCTCCTGTACGGAGGGTGCCTGAGGGACGAGAGCTCACCCACTTGGGTAGTGGGGTTACCCTGGTGCTGGGGCTGGGTGCTGGGGCTTGATGCTGGGGCTCTCCTGGGTGGTGGGTGCTTTTTGGTGGTGTTCCTATAGCCCAAACCGGGGTGTAGGAGACCGGGCTTGAAGGGTGTGTGATGTGAGTAGTGCCTGATGGCAAGGTTTCATTTGTAAGCACCACTCAAGTGCTTTGAAATATGTACTCCCTGTTATAACCTGTGTCTCTGACTAAAAGTTGTTTGTGTGTAGTAACTGTGTCCTGAGGGGTGAGTCAAGATTTCCTTTTGAATTTCCTTTTGAAGGACTTTGGAGTATGCAGTTGAAGATGGAACTTGTGCAGTGGGTGTGCATGCACTGGATGGTATCAAAAGCCTGTAAGAGTTTAGGTGACTGCAACAAGAAAAGAGTCTGGCCAAAGGATCCACCCTCAAGCTTCAGTGGATTAGGACTTCCACTGTAGAAGTAGATGGTAAGGGTTACAGCAAGGAGACTGACTTCACACGAGTGAGAAGAAAACTGGCACACTTTATTAGCCTCTGGTTGTTTTGGTTGACAAGTACAATGCTGTCTTTGCTGATCTGCTTCTTGTGCGTACATAAAAATTTCCAGAAAGCCCCCAACTTTGCAAAAGGGCTCCCCATGCAAGTGCAGGAGTGTGGACTTCTGCAGTAGTTGTTCTCCTAGTACCTGAACAGGAAAGTGCTTGGCTCTGGGGACCTTAGCTGTGAAGAAGAATTCCAAAGAGGTGAGTGGCTTTTCTAAAAGCTGGCAGCTTGCTGTCTTCAGATTCCTAATAAAGCCAAGATGTTCCACATGGTTATGCCTGAAGTAATGCTTCTGAATGACAGGACGCCTGCTGCTCTGTTGCTCTCCATGCTCTCCGGCCAAAGAGTCCTTCTAAGAAAAAAGCCCCAAGATGACAAAAACCCTTTTGAAAAGAAGATGAGAAAAAACCTTGCCAAGTATCCTGTCTTCAGGGTTGAGTTCCATTGAAAGTAAGTTGGTCTGCTCTGCTTTTGTAAGTGAAGATGAAGATATTACCTGTTTATATCCTTACATAGATAAGGTTGTTCTCCTATCACTTCAGTTACTGAATTTTTAATAATTCTGGAAAAGGATAGCAATGAATACATTCTAAAGAAATATGTTGCTACAAAAGAAGCAACACCTTCACTGTCAGTAAAGGGATGTTACATTTACCTGATTGGAAAAATACATATCTAAGATAACAACTATTTTGATAACATCTTGCTTAACTTTCTGTTGCTGTGATTGATTACAAGTAAGCAATAAAGTAGTTATTTGACTATTAGATATTAATATTATTAGATATTTGACTAGTAGATATTATTCCATCTGACAAGGAAGCTGAAAAAGGTAAATAGCTGAAAAGCTCAATGGGCAAGCTTGAATGCAGCAGAAGTACTTTCTTCTCCATAGGTTGGAGCAAGTTACTGTGTGAAATAGATTAATCCTAGATGAAAATAATTGTTCCACAGAAAAATACCCAGAAGCTTTTTGTGTTTTGGATGAGCAAGTGACAAATATAAGACAGGAGAAGCAATGTTATAGATGTCTTTGAATTATACTGATCTGCAGTGAGCTGCCAATGATCTTTAAATGAGAGGTATTTCTCAAATCCTTAAATTTAGCAATCTTCTACACGATTTCTAATGCTCTTTTTAGAGAGACTTAGAAAGTGCCTTTTCTGACAACTAATGCTGCAGTGCATTAGCATTGCGGATTTTCTATTAGTAACACAAAGACCTTTCATTCAGTGACACAAACAGAGATACAGCCAGCTAAGCTCACGCGGAAGTCCAGCCCCCCCCCCAGGCAAGCAGCTGGGTGCATCTACGAAAAGTCAAGTCACAGTAAATATTTTCTGCCATGAGCAATTGACACAAACTGCCTAGGGAAGCAGCAGCACTAACAGGTTTTTCTTCTACCTTACAGCTAAATTAACAGCAATGTTAATATATGGGATAAATAAACTTATTCACCCACTGCTAAACACAAGCTAATATGGAACTTTTTTTGTTTGTTTTCTAAGCCAGCCAGTGAAGGACAGCAGAACCGGAATGGGCCTTGTACTGCAGCTCAGGTCGCGGTCACCTGCTGTATGCAACTTCAAGGTAACTGTCAGAAAATGACCCCTGTGCTACACCTGCTGTCATTGTGCAATTACAGCTGTGTGAGAAGCCACTACCACAAAGAAATCACTCTTACTTTCTTATGGCTGTCACCTTTTGCATATTCCACAGGATCACACAATTGCAGGGGTTGGAAGGGACCCCCACAGATCATAGAGTCCAACCCCCCTGATCTTTGCTGCTCTCTTAGTCTTTTGCTTCAAGCCCTGTGGAAAGTGAAGTTACATTCTTATACCTCACAGGAAACAGACTTGATATTTCATCAAACAGCCATGAATAACAAACAGCTGAGGGTACAGAAGCGTGCTTTTAGCAGGCAGCAGACCTCGCTCTGGAAGTATTTCAATACATGTTTTGCTGATTGATTCAGATAACACCTATGCTTGTTTTCTCTAGGCAATGCATTTCATAGCGTGCTCCGTGCTTGATAAGGTAAGCTTTTGCACTCTCTGTTTTTAACCAGAAGTAACCACAGGGTGATATGGAGAAACGAAGTTGTTGTTTGTGTTTTTTTTTTTTTTAACAAGTATGAGAACAAGACCCCTTTCCTGTCCTGATTTCCTTATGTCACAAACACCTTCCTGCTTTGTTGCGTGTTCCAGAACAGATAGATTTAAATAAACCTTAATTCTGGCTGTGCCCTGTGACAAAGTGATAGCGAGGCCTCTGAAAACACTTACCTAGTCAGACTTGGTGGTTGGCTGTGCAAGTATAATCCTGAGCACAGGAGGCTGGGATGGCTCAAAATGGTTGCTGGACAGGGCCCAGGTGCTCAAATGTAATTCCAAGGAATCAAGTTTTTGTGAATGCCTGCGTTACGGGTGAAGCTGTTAAAAGCATGCGATGTAACAATGCTTCCCAAATGTGTACAGACTACATCATAAAGTAGTGCAGAAAAGAAAATGAGCGTTAATTGTTAGTTTCCCTGGCATTTACCTCACCTTTGCTGTATGCATTTTTTTTCCCTTGCAGCTCACATTTGGTTAGCAGGCTCAGTGGGATGGATTTCTGTGACACAGAGAGGGAGTGAACGGGGATCTTAACAGCACGTGGCAAAGAAAGGAGGAAAGAAGCTATTGGATGAACGCCCAGAAGTAAAAGAAGAATTTGTGACAATCAGAAAAAATCTGTCTTGCACGCTTTCAGGGTGAGTAGGAGACGAGATTTTACCACAGGATGCTTTAGGAGCTGTGAGACGAGAACCTGAGCTAAAAGCTTTAGTAACCAGACACAAATTAAAGCCTTATGTCACAAAACTACTTTGTTGGCTATGTTACTGTGAAAAGTCAGCTGCTCTTCAAATGCCTTGTAAGAACCTGAAGCTTTAATAACATGCAAGCCAAGAATTAGAGAAGGAATGCTGGACCGCAGGGATTTGAAAAATCCCTCGATTACCCTGAGCTCGTTTCTGGTAAACTATGAGCAGGGATGAATGCTCTCAGTAACTGCTCCTTTCAACTGTAAATCTGTTTCAGAGCTACAGATGATAAATGAGAGCTGAGGAAAAACTAAGAAGAGCTCACAACAGCTCCGGGTTCCTGAGAACCTGAGAAGATGATGAGGAACTCCACAGATTTCTACTTGAGCTGTGTTACCAAAGCTCGTAGTGATGACAACTGCACTGTAAGTAATAATCCAGGCTTCTCCCAGGTGCTGATGGATTCTAAATGCCCTCCCTGTTCACAGAAGAACGTTAAGTGACAAAAGATGGTCAAATGAAAACCATCTGCTCAAAGCAGAGTTATGACAAAAAGAAAATTCTCAGGATAAATAAAAGATTAGACTAATGAAAATGAGACTGGCTTAATTTAATAGCGTAACAGCTCCAATGTGCATAAAATGGTTATGCCTGCACAGTTAGGTCTGCATAATGGTACATGTGCCATAAAGATACTTTAGCTTAAATAGTCCTCTGACACCTATGTAAGTTTATTGAAGATGTGCGTTCAGTATCTGACGGCAGACTTAATTATGCTTTCAGCTAGAAGTATTCAGGCTGGGAGTAGGCAATTTAGAACTTGCAAAACTATTTTTAAAGCTCATGTTAAGTTTATGGCAAGTGATAGAGTCAATTTAAAAAGGAGAGGGAAAGTTAAACAAACAAATAGTAGTAGATACTTTCAGGCACAGCACCATGTGAAAATGACACTAGATGTACTGTGACAGGAAGGACTGATGTATTTTAACAAGAACCCAGGTCTTCAGAGACACCTAAACACCAGCACACGGTTGATTTGAGTATCTTGAGCATTATGAAACAACTGCTTTGTGTTACCTTCTACGGGCAACCACTCTACTAGGATGCAGTGTTGTGTGACTCCAACTGCCACAGCTTGTACTACTTATTTTCTTCCTTCACGTTTAAAAGGTTACTGTGCATGAAGACACAGTTCAAAGAGCATAAGCTATTTTTAGAGAAATCAGTCTTTCCTGTGACTTTGCACAAAAGGCTTGCCTTTTGATTATGTACTTCACTTAAAGATGTGAAAAAGCCGCTCCCAAAAACTGCATTTTTCCAGGGCTTACTTTTCAGTAGTACTACTGTGAGCTTAATTTTAAACAATTAAATTTCTGTTTTTGACAACAAGAAGTAGGCAGGAATAGTGACATGCTCCTGTTTTCCCCTGGTCTGTTCCAGGAAACTTTGCTGGGGGCTTGTCCACACTTGCTGACAGTTTTAGCTGTTCTATTTTCTTTAAACACCATCCAAATGACATGTAGAATCTGATTTATTTTTCCTACTGCTATTTTTTCATTTATATTCCTGAGCAACGCAGCCAGCATGGGGAAAAAATCAGAGAGCAAGTCAAGAGGACATGTACCTGGAAGACTTTTCCCATGTATCATGTGTTGGAAGGATCAGAGAGACAAACACCAGTAGCCTGCATAGCTGCCACTATTCTGAGTTATAACATGACGCTTGATTCAAGCGCAGCCAACGACAATCTCAGAGTGGTACCTTCTCCAAGAATAAAAATATAGAGTGGTAAATTTAAGCAAGAGCTCTGCTCGCTACACCCATTTCAGCCAGAAAAACTGCAACAAGTTATTTTGTACCGTCAAATAAAATAAATGGATCTTGTACCATTAGCACTCTAATTCCCTGCGTACAGTATAATCTCACTGTAAAGAAAGCACACAGATACTTTTTATGCACTCAACCAAATACTCTATCACCCTGTCTCCAAAGGTAACTGCAGCTTTCATAATGCTTTTCAGTCCTGATCTTCTAACACTGCAAAAATAACTGGCCTGTATCTGTCCCAGCTAAACCCACTGATGTGCTCCCCAACTCAGTTTTACCCAAGGAGTGAGTGACAGAGGAAACTGTAAACCACAAACCAGCCCCCCCGAGTACAACTCCTAGCATGGCACGGGCGCTTGGACAGTCCCAGGCTTGATACTTACCTCAGAATTTCCAAGCATCCACACACACAAACAGCAGTCAGTGCAACTGAAATACAGCCTACGAGCATCTGTGCTGCTGTAGTAGTCAACCGGCAGCACTCCCACCTACTGCATTTCAAGAAGTCTGTTGAGCTGTTAGCGTGTCGGCACTCTGCAATGGTGGGACAGCTCACAAAGTAACTACCTCACAAGATGCTTCTTCATTACACTGATTGTGAGCAAATCTTCTGTCTTCATTTAACATTATACACCATTAGGAAAGTCAATCTGTAGGTAAAGGGAACGCCTGATGAAGCAAAAGCAGTTTGGAAGACATTGTCGTGAACGATCATTCTGACAGCCCGATCGCCTCTTTCTGTAGTTGACTCCCACACTTAAATTCTTGTTCATCTCTAAAAACTAATTGCAATCTAAAAAAAAAAAACCAAAAACCAGCACCATTCTGCTCACATCAGCAGAAGAAAGATAGCAGCAAAGGCTAAGGTGAGAACTGGCAAAGAACGTTAAGAGGCTCTCCTCCCTCAGTACAAAGAAGAAAGCGGACAATCACCCTATTTCCAAAATCAGCTAGCACTGGAAAGCCCCTCCGCTTCAGAAAAAACTGGCCTCAGACTTTATTTACAAGAAGTGCATTTAAAAGCTGTTTCTCTTCCACGTACCTTGATCAAATAACCCGAGTAGGAAAAGACCCGCCAAGATTGGAGTCCATTTAATGTCCTGTATCCCTAGAGGCTGACTGAGAACTCCCAGTTCCCAAGGCCCAGCTCCTGATTCACTCTCTTGTTAACAACTATCTGTAAAAACTTAATAAGCATGTATTTTTTTTATTTCAGCAACACCAGTTTAGCACAGAACTACAGGTTTGAGCTTACTCCGGCAGTCACATACACAAGTACTACCCAAACATCACATGACATCACTAGAAAGCTGGGTTGAAGCCAATGGGATGAGTTTCAACAAGGCCAAATGCTGGGTCCTGCACTTCAGCCACAACAACCCCAGGCGACGCTACAGGCTTGGGGCACTGTGGCTGGAGGACTGCGTAGAGGAAACGGACCTGGGGGTATTGATTGATGCTCGGCTGAATGTGAGCCAGCAGTGTGCCCAGGTGACCAAGAAGGCCAATGGCATCCTGGCTTGCATCAGAAACAGTGTGGCAAGCAGGAGCAGAGAGGTGATTGTTCCCCTATATTCAGCACTAGTGAGGCCACACCTCGAGTACTGTGTCCAGTTTTGGGCCCCTCACTGCAAGAAAGATATTGAGGCCCTGGAAAGTGTTCAAAGGAAGGCAACAAAGCTGGTGAGGGGTCTGGAACACAGGCCGTATGAGGAAAGGCTGAAGGAGCTGGGAATGTTCAGCCTGGAGAAGAGGAGGCTCAGGGGAGACCTCTTTGCTCTTTATAACTACGTGAAGGGATGCTGCAGTGAGCTGGGGGTCAGCCTCTTCTCTCGTGTCATTAGTGATAGGACCAGGGGGAATGGTTTCAAGCTACGGCAGGGGAGATTCAGGCTGGACATGAGGAAGTATTACTTTTCAGAAAGGGAGGTCAGGCACTGGAATGGACTGCCCAGGGAGGTGGTGGAGTCGCCGACCCTGGGGGTGTTCAAGGAAAGGCTGGATGTTGTGTTGAGGGACATGGTTTATTGAGAGTTACTGGGAATAGGTGAACGGTTGGACTGGGTGATCTTTTAGGTCTTTTCCAACCTTGGTGATTCTATAATTCTATGACAGAATGCCCAGTTTGCAGCTGCTGAAAATTAGGCACATGTACCCCACACCGAAAGAATACTATGGCATAACAGTAAACACTAATCACCCAGATGTTACCTCCCTCACCCCCACACACACATGCTTTTTCATAGTGCTTCCTACCGACACATTGCACCTTCTTTTTCCCCACAGAGTATTTCCTCTTTGTTGCAAGGACAGAAAAAACGCTGCTAACGCTGAACCGCTGCTCGTTCCGTAGCTCGTTCCATCCACACCGGTCGCTCAGTGGCATTTCGGTACCACCTACAGCACATCAATCTAGAATGATAACTAAACAAAACTTACTTCTCTATGGCTCAAATATTACTATTTCCCTGTTCTCGAATAATATTTCCATACACTAACTAATCCACTTGACAACATCTACATCAGGATTTCTTACCGCCCTGGATATCAGGCAGCACGCAGATAGCGCTATGCATCAGGGTTACCCGGAATTAAAGATGCTTCACTTTGGATGCTTTGGGTCTCTCTTCAGAGGACAGATGAACTACGCAGCACTTCGTCAGTACAAAATACGACTTCAATCTATTTCAGTCCTATCGTGTGTTTTCAAAGCTGACATCAATCGGTCCCAAGTGCCTGAACTCAGACAATGATACCTGTGCAACTAATGGCTGTAACTTAAAAATGTGATTCACCCAACCTCGTGCAGAGGAAACGCTTAGCATTACAAACAGCCTCCCGAGTGCTGTACTCCCCCTTCCTCACCCATTACCTTTCGGCCAGCTTCTGTAGGTATAAGGACGCAGAGCTAAAAAAAAAGAACTGCATTAAGACACCTGTATTTGTTTGCTAAACACTAACCACCTGGTGCTCCTGAGAATGGCATGCTATAGAGTAAGAAAAAGCTTTGCACAGACAACCACGATATTGGCATTTCCGTCCCGCTGAGGTCTTCGCCCTACAATAAAACTCACAGTTCCCTAACTTTATTATCACACTCTCTAACATGTTAAGACCTCATTAACTTCAGGTGTCTCTCATCATGCTACATTTGTGCCTTGAGAAACTTCTGCAATAGGACCCCTTAATCATAACCACCATTCAGACAACCACCACAAGGGTAGTTCTTACCCACTAAATTCACAGTCTGTAAAAGAACCAATACATAGCACTGAATTATTACATAAGTAGGAAATAGAGTGCAGTAACAAGCACAAAGACTCCAAACAATTCTAAATTCTAACAAAACCCTTTCGGTCACCTCAGAAAACTGAGTTTTTCTCACCATATCTCTTGTGTGACACAAACGCAATACCCAAGCTTTAATTTAAGAGGTTTTACGTTAAGCTTTCTGCCCCATAGTTTAATTGTAAAGAAACACTTTCTTGAACTTCTGTGCTTCGTTGGTGTTTTCCTTTTTGGAGAAAGAAAACATTTCAGAAATGAAAACAGAAAACACTCACCTCATTTCCACCGACAGCCTTGGTTAAAATCACTGCAGATGACACAGGAGGTGGCATACAGCCTACTGTCTGCAACCTGAAAACAAGAAAAAAAAAAATATATATTACATTCCTTACAGGAAAAGCAGAAACACTAAGTCACAAACAAAGACATGAGTACCACCTGGAAAGGCAAGGCTAACCTACAGGAGCTCAGCTGCATGCGATGTATTTAAGTGACTGGAAGGGGTGGAGCCAGAAGCCACCCCTTCCCACATCGCATAAAAGGGGCGGCAGGGCAGGCGAGAGCACTTAGCTGAAGACCTCTATGTGCCTGAGATCTTTGGAAGGTAAGTGGATTTTCTCTTTCTATATCCATGGCTATTGAGTTTGAATAAGTTTTTTTTTGCTGCAGCGTAGGAGTTTGCTACACTCCTTTTATTGCTGTGCTTTTCAGTGCATTCACTGCATTATGTTAGGTAAGCTAGGTGGGTGTGGCAGCAGTGTACTTGCTTAAGAAGGAATTTCTTAAAAAGCTAGTGTGTTCGGTGATTACAGGGTTCCTTGTGGTTATGAGCTACGCAAAAAAATTGAAAAAGAGGAACCTAGAAGGAACAACGATTCCATTATTAGAAATCCCTCAAAAAGGGCAGAATACTTGCAGAATTGAAATCAAACACTTTTGACAGCTGAGAAAAGAGTAATAACAACACCTGCTGCAGCATAGCAGCTACCACCAACTTTTAACGTGTACCATTGCTTCGAAAAAGATGTAAATCAGGTTTGCAATAGATCATAACAGACAACTGGAAAATGAAACTATGTCTCTGATGGGGCAAACTGCCTTATCCTGAAGTGGCACTTCCCCTCTAAAATTAAGAACTGTATCATTAAAAGGGAAAAAAAGAGTTAGATCAAGGGAATCCACGGATCTCGGTTCAATCGAGAATAAGAAGAAAGTCAAGCAGATGGAAATTCAACTAGAGGATTTGGAAGCCTCAGATCTTTTTTTTTTTTTTTTTTTTGACTTATTGTATTATTCATAGGGGAAGTCCAAGACAGACCAGCAGACTTGTTACCTAAGGAGTGGCGCCCTGCCCACAGCACATTAACGTGTGACAACGGGCCTATATGCAGCTGCCAAACTCATGGATTGTTGTAATGCAAAGGGCTTACCGGTACTGTACTCAATCACTGCTTCATGCCACGAAGGGGTGCAGTGCAGCAAAAATGCAAGTCACGGCCTGAACTGGTGACAGAGCGCCTGGTGTGAAGGCAAGGCCGACACAGGGGAGCTCAGGTGCATGCGATGTACCTGACTGACTTGAAGGGGTGAAACCAGGATCCACCCCCTCCCAGATATCACGTAAGGGCAGGCAGCAGAACTGAGGGTATCTCACTGCAGGCCCCTGTGTACGTGAGGAGTTACGCAGCTAAGTTGATTGTTGCCTTTATTTCTGCAGCTGCTGCACTTGAACATGTCC